GCAGCTGGATTTAGAGCCAGAAAGAACTGGTTGGGACCACAATTTTGACATTTAGTGACTATGTGTCCTTGGCACTTTATCTTTCCAAAGCTCTGGTTTTTTTTTTTTTTTAGATTTTTGAAGTTGGGGTAATCATGTTCTGTATAGTGATACGATTATGGTAATATGATTTATGGCAATATCAAAATGCCCAGTACATGCACCACCAATGTTGGATGATCAGACAAATTCAAGCTCAGCCCCTGCATAAGGCCGACTCTGATGGTGCCCTGGGCGCGCCCTCGAACTTGCAGTCCTCGGTTAGAGAGCAGCTATTTCTGCTTTTAGATCTTTACACCGACAAAAGCTACTTTATGGGGATGCCTATCTGGTGCTGCAGGAGATGGCAAGAGTCCAACATGTTCTCCCCACACAAAGAAATCCAGCCTTATTAGGTTTCATACGACTGTCTCGCTTCCCGCTTCCCTTTCCTCTCCTTGACTAAAATAAACCTTGCACATCAAAATCTCACTCAGCATCCCCTAAAGGGATGAGTGCTTTCTCTGGAAACCCTTGGAGTCCTGAAATGAGAAGGCTAACTCAGTCTCTAGGGAGAGTGGCTATTTTGAATTTCTCAAGACACTAATTCAAGAAGCGTGCCCTCCCACTACCTCCTACCCCCCTAATTTCCCACAGTTGTGTGGCAAGCGAGCTGCTGAAGAAGTTTTCGTTCTTGGGAGATGGAGATGAGGGAGGAAGAGAGTGTGGGAGGGAGAAGTTCATCAAAACTGTTAAAGACGCTAAAGATGTGTTTTTTACAAAGCCCTTGGTGGAATCTGGGTTCTAAGTAGGACTTTTCTTGTAGTTTAGCAGACCAGTTAAGATACGGCTTTGGGCGCAAAGGCCCCTTCCCCAGCTATCCTCAGGATACGAATGACTGGAGGGCTGCAGTGAGGACTGAAGAGAGTTCAGTGAGTTTGGTGTGTGATGCTCGGGAGCTGTGGGAAGAAAGCACTGTTCCCACTCCAGTCATGGCAGCCCAGAGGAGCCCTGTTCGAGAAGGTTGTAAGCTAAGGATATCACCGAGGGTAGCACAGAACCTGGTGTTTGTGAGATGCCTCAGAAAAACTAGGCGAGACTTTGAGGAAGGCCAAAGCAGGTGAGGGCTCTGAGCCAGTAACATCTGAATTATTAATATGACCTCATTTGTGCCAGCAGCCTGCTGGGATTTGGGGACATTATTTTCACTGAGGGTCCTGGGGGATGTAATAGTATCAGTCTTGATTCTGGGAATTTTTGGTGTAGGGGATGGTATGCGGATCAGCTGCAGTGGGCCTGGGGCAAACCAGCATCTGACAGTGGAGTGGGCTTCCAGGAGTAATTTGGGCTACACTTTACCAGTGGTCCAGACTGGGGTGGAGGGGAGGAGCAGGGGCAGGAAGACAGCCTCCAGACCCTTTGGGAGCAGGAGTGAGAGTCAGGGGCTCCAGACGATGGGCTGGGATGTGGACAGTGACTAATAATTGGTGAGAAGCATGATAGCATGGCTAGAAGCACTGCGGCCTGAATGTCAGTACTTTACTTAGTTGCATGGGTTGGAACGACACTACCAAGGTTGAAGGCACAGCTCTACAGTTCCTGACTCTGTCGCTCCAGCCTGGCTGGCCTAAGTAGGCTAAGTAGGCTTAGCGTGTCAACTTTTATGATGTATCTTATCTATTACTTTGTGTGCTGATAGTTATACATTTAAGGTGGGTAGAGTCTGATCCTATAGTTGGTTCTTCAATGGATCTGATAGGCAAAAGACAGTGAAGAAACCAGGCTGCAGATAACAAAGTCTGGTCTTCCAAAGCCTCCTGGCAAGCAAACAACAATAGACATTACAAATAATTTTGAGAAGGGGATATATTCATATGGGAAACATTCAACCAGTATGGAAAGGTATAGAGTGAAAACAACGTTTCCATCTGACCCTAGAACCTTATCTAGTCCTTCTCAGGAGAATAGTTTCCTGGAATAGTTTCCTGACATAGTCCATGCATATACAAGTGTATGTGAATGTGTATGTGTATAATATACACACTGTCATGCACCTCAAATTAATTCTTTTTTTTTTTTTTTTTTTTTTTTTGAGACGGAGTTTCACTCATGTTACCCAGGCTGGAGTGCAATGGCGTGATCTCGGCTCACTGCAACCTCCGCCTCCTGGGTTCAGGCAATTCTCCTGCCTCAGCCTCCTGAGCAGCTGGGATTACAGGCACGCGCCACCATGCCCAGCTAATTTTTTGTAGTTTTAGTAGAGACGGGGTTTCACCATGTTGACCAGGATGGTCTTGATCTCTTGACCTCGTGATCCACCCGCCTCGGCCTCCCAAAGTGCTGGGATTACAGGCTTGAGCCACCGCGCCCGGCCCTTCAAATTAATTCTATTCAACTAACTTTTATTGAATTCTTATGATTTCCCAAGAACAAGCCTAGCACCTTCACATATGCTATCTCATTCAGTCCTATAACAACCCTACGTAGTATCCATTACTTTGACCAGTATGCAAGTCAAAGGAAATGGAGGCTTGGTGACAGGAGCCACACAATTTGCCCATGGCCACAGGATGTAAGACCACAGGAGCTGGGAATTAAATCAGGCAGGTCTGACTGGCTTTAAAAAGGAGCTCACTCCCCACTACTTCATGCTGCCTCTTACATGCTTATTGTGAAAATGCTTTCTGGGAATTTTCTAATTTGACCTTAGAAGGTATGTTGTGGGCTCTCAATGCTGAAAGGTATGGCTAGAGACTGGAGAGATAATCTGGGAAAGGGTGAATTTATCAGTGGCTCTTGGCTCCTCCATGTGTCCATGGACCTGTATCCATAGCTGTGCATTCATTATCATCTGCTGCAGAAGTTGTGTTGGCTCCCATAGAACGTGCATGGACTTGCTCTTAGGTCCAGCCTACCTAAGCTGAGTGTGTGTGTGTGTGTGTGTGTGTGTGTGTGTGAGTGTATGTTGGACATTTGGCTTAGGCCTGAGAAGCAGCCTCTTGTAGGTTTGCCATCAGTAAGGACCAAAGGAGACAGTGGAATGAACTTTTGATTGCTTGTTCAGACTTTGCCTAACCTCCTTTCTTTTTTGATTTCACTAATTTTTATAAAAACTCGAAGAAGAGCCTATCCCAGTGAAAGGAGTCACCTCTCATTTTGTAAAGCTCTAAGACAGGACAGTAGTACTGACTGCTCTGTCATTGTGAGGATCCAGAGATCACAGTACATGTTTGTGTTTCTCCAACTTGGAATGGTTGTAACTTTGATTCCACAGTTACACTTGCCAACCTCCAGAGAAGGCACAGAATGGCTAATGATGTTTTAAACTATGGATCCACAATGAATTCAAAGATATAATGGATTTTATTAATTTTAAGAGAGCATGAGCACATTATGGAGGAAATATATTACAGTGGTTAAGGATGCAGCCTCTGGAGCCAGACTGTCTGGGTCCAAATTCTGGCTCTGATACTTTCTGGCTTGGCATTTTATCTTTAAGATAAGTTACCTGAACTTCAGGTAAGTTATTTAACCTCCAGGTAAGTTACTTAACCTCTTTCCACCTCAGTTTTCTTACCTGCAGAATGGATGTAATAATAGCACAAGTTTCATAGGCATGCTGTCAAGATTGAAGAATTAATACACATAATAAAGCTTAGAACAGCATCTGTTTTAAGTACCCAATAAATGTTAGCAAGTACTGCTATATGGAACAGAGTACAAAAATCACATTCACTTAAAAGATAAAACAGAACACTGCAACAAATTTTTATACTTGCTGCAGTCTGCCATGGGCTGTATTTTTGCAATAGGCTGAATTTGCCTGTTCATTCTGTGCAGCAAGGGGCACTCTTCTGGAAAATTTGGCGCATAGTTGGCGTAAAATACATTACAGCTGTCATCATCAACATTGTAAGCACCATCCAAAGGAGTATAATGTCTGTGAAATTGGAGAGTCTGTTGACTTATTTTAATGAATCAGCATTGTTAGCAGAGGGAAACTTGCAGCTTCTCCTGGAACGGGGTCTTTAGAGGTTGTTTGTAAAGCCTAGGAAGAAATCAGACCTAGATCTTTTTTACGGTTTGGAAGTTAAAAATGAGGTCTGACTATTCTCCCTGTTTCTTGCCCACTTATTCACCAGGTAGCTGTGAGTGATTTCTGGTGATTTCTAAAAGTCAAATCCACTCGAAGAGGACAAAGATCAGCCACTATAAAAGAACTTCTAAAAATTTGCTGTGTAATAAATACATGAAAATAATTTAACCTCATTAAAACCTCCTGAATGTAAATTAAAACAACTGAACCATATATATATATATAAATTAGCCAACATTGGGAAACTGATAAAACTCAGTGCTGACAAAGGGATGGTGAGATGGGCATTTGCATAGGGCTGAGGTACATCTGAGCTCATAAAGTGAAAACTGCATATAACCAATGTCACCTTTGAATTGACCACTAAGCATAGCATGTGTGATTTGTGTTTTATAGTTCTCCGTATTATTTGGTTTTAAAACCTTTTTATTTTGAAAATTTCCATCACATAAAGAAGTAATTTTTTTTTTTTTTTTGAGACAGGATCTCACCCCAGGCTGGAGCGATCAGTGGTGATTATAGCTCACTGCAGCCTCTAACTCCTGGGCTCAAGTGATCCTCTTGCCTCAGCCTCCTGAGCAGCTGGGACCACAGCCCCCTGCCACTACACCTGGCTAAACTTTATTCTTATTTTTTGTAGAGATAAGAAATCTCTATGTTGTCGAGGCTGGTCTGGAATTCCTGGGGCTCAAATGATCCCACCACCTCAGCCTCCCAAAGTGTTGGGATTACGAGCATGGGCCACCATGCGCAGCTGAGAAATAAATTGTGTATGATACATTTTGTCTGCAGCAGCTGAGAAATAAATTGTGTATGATACATTTTTTCTGCAGCAGCTGAGAAATAAATTGTGTATGATACATTTTTTTCTGCAGCCTTCATCCAATTTCAACAACCATCAGCATTTTGCCACACTTGGTTCATCACTCAACTAGCATCCCCAGCTTTTATTTTGTTGTAATGTTTTAAAGCAAATTGTAGCCACTGTGTCAGTATGCCCTAAATATTTAAGTCTACTTTTAAAACAGTGAAGTTTTAACCTAAGCATAGTATCATTATCACATTTAACAAAATCAATAATTTATTGATGTCATCTAATACCAAGTTTTCTTTATTGTCTAAAAAGTGTCTTTTTACAGTTGGTCAGTTGGAATTAGGATTCCAACAAGGCCCACATTGTGCACACTAATTCTTCTACATAACAGAGAAGCTCTAAGCCCAATTAGGAGAAAAAAGGAAAGGACAATTATAATTGCAGCCAATCATAATGGAGATAATGTTTTGAAACTTATTAATATGCTTTTCTATTTTGCTTCCTTCCTTTATTGACCTTTGCTCTAGGTGTCTTGAGGCATCCATCATCCTGGAAGAAGTCTATGATTTATAACAGAAGGAATGCAAAAAGAAAGAACAAGTTAATATTTCTCTTTTGGCATGTCAAATAGAATTATCAGCAAGAAAATAACCTTGCAAGCCAGGTGTTGTCTTGAAAAGCCATTTCTAAATTTCTTTAATCCTCGCCTTTGGCTTTTCAACAATGCAGCCTGAGTAAACCAGTTTATGGAGTTCTCCCAAAGTGCAGGGGAAATATCCACATCCTTTATTAGGGTGTCTCTAAGAAACCGAAGTATGGAGGGCATGATGCACGGGAAATCTGCTATTTTGGGGCCCTTTGTGATAGAGAGAAAGAGATAGAGAGAAAAGAGGAAGAAGCAGGTGAGAGAATCAGTTTAGGTCATGTACTCTCCCAGTTTTGGCCCAGAAAATAGGGAGGTCTATTGGTTAAGTAGGGTTATCATCAAGGGCAGAGGAGGGTTTTTTTTCCTTCTCCCTGCTTGAGACTCTGCTGAATAGACTATTTACCTGGGGTGTGACTACATCTACAAGGCTGTGTGGTATGACCAGGCAGAGGGAGGCCTTGATGCTTAGATTTTCTGAGACATTCTTATTTCTAGTGAGGCACAGATGGACCCAGAAAATGGCGAGTTTAGCTGGGGAGTATTACCAATGGGAGTCACCATGGTTGCGCAAGGCCAAGGTACTCTGTAGCAAGGGCTGCACAGTGGACCACCTGGGCCAGACCAGTTGGAGTCACAGCAAGTGGGAAGGAGTCTAGACCCAACAGATGAGTGCAAAGAGCTGCAGAGGGCAAGAGCCAGCGAGACAGCCTCCTGGGCTCTGATCAGCCAAAGAAAGCCTAGGCTATAAGTTACTCTTATGCAGACACAGACTTCAGCTGTGAATCCCAGTAGGGCAAGATACATGCAGGTGGATCAGGGACTTCTACCTAACCCTGCCTAGAAAAGTAAGAAGAATCTGACTTTTTGCCTGCCATGAAGGTGTTCAAGTTTCACCTCTCCCTCTTCACACCTAGATGTCATCTTGGAGGGGAGCTAGAAGACTGATACGTTTGAGAAACTAAGCCTTTACCCTTAGAGGGGACCATTCTTTGAAGGTACCATTTAAATTATCATGTGATATGAAGGTTTAAACCTTATTAAATATTAAAACAATCAGGTTGTCCTTTTGAATGGCTTTTGGCTATTTCCAAAAATCAAATCTGTTAGAGGACAAATATTAGACATACTGAAATGCTTCTAAAATATTCTAACTGGTGAATATATGAGAAAATAATTAACTTCATTAATTACCCACTCAAATGTAAACTAAAACAACTATTCTATACTTCCTTCTTTGAAATTCATAAACGTTGGAAAAAAATACAGAAAATCTACTAGTTGGTAGGAAAAAGGTTATAGACAGAACAAAGGGGCCACATGCTCTTGGTTAATCTGAGTTTTGATGGAAGTTAAATGTTGCTGCCCTGGCATAAACACTAACATTTATTAAGCACTTTCTCTGTGCCTGGTGCTGTTTTAAGAAATTTAGGTGCATTATTTCACTAAACGTTATGAACTATATGCTATCATGGCCTCTTTTTACCAATGGGAAAACTAAGCCACAGATAAATACCTTGTACAGTTAGAAAATGGCAAACTTAAGATCTGAATCTAGGAAGCCTAATGTGAGGGCCACTAGCCTTAACCTCTGCTTGCCCCCATGTTGGGACACATTCAGACCCTTCTTCCTATGTGACAAACACCAGATCCTTACCAGTGACTAGAGGGTGGATGGGGAATTCTAAACCGTTTCTTCTTGACTCCATTTCACTTTTAAGCCTCTGTAAACTTAATGCATGTTGACAGATCTGTTTGTTTTGAGGATTGATATGATATTTCTGAAAACACCTAGCAAAGACATAGCTGCTCAATCAGTGTTGCTTGCTGAACCCAAATCTTGCTTGATTAGATGCATTAACACACTCTATTCTTTGAAAATTTTTAGGGAAGAACTTGCCTCTTGCTTCCTGCCTTTGCAAGTGGGATTTGCTGTTGAAGCTTCTCTGAATAGCTCACTGTCATGCCCTGGGTCATTTATATCACCTTATCAGGGACTGTGAGAGTTTAGAAAATCTTTCAGCAAATACTAGCTTTTTCTCCCTCCCATTCCTAGCCCGGAATACTTTACTACCTCATTGATGTTGGTTTTGGCCTTGTGGTTTGCTTTGGCCAATGGAATGTTAGTGGATGTGACCCCAGCAGAGGCTTTTAATGTACCTGGGAATTTTGGATTGCCTCTTGGACTCTTGTGATTGATGCACCTCAAGAAGAACATGCTCGTGGGTAGCTGCTGCCCCTTCGACCTGGGACCCAGAATAAATACATGTCGAGCAGACTTGAACACAGTCTGCTACTACACTTAGCTGTCCAGCAGGGTGAAGTGGAGCTTCCTAGCCAAGCCTAGCCTGAATTGACTGAACCATCATGGATCCGCAGATTGGTAATTGTGAGAATAAATTCTTGTTGTCAAAAGCTATTGAGTTTTTAGGTGCTTGTTATGCAGCATTATGGAAACAAAAGCTGACAAATACAGTGGGTTGTGTTCTAAAGTCCACGTGCAGGTTAAAAATGTGAATGATGGGACCTATGCCCTGCTGCATCTGAAAACATAAAAGAGTATAACATTAGGAAAGCAACATGAAGCTATATCAATATGAAGGGCTTTATTTTCCACCTTAGAAAATAACCAGGGACAGGGTGCGGTGGCCCATGCCTGTAATCCTAGCACTTTAGGAGACCGAGGCAGGAGGATCACTTGAGGTTAGGAGTTCAAAACCAGTCTTGTCAACATGGTGAAACCATGTCTCTACTAAAAATACAAAAAAAAATTAGCAGGGCATAGTGGTAGGCGCCCAATCCCAGCTACTTGGGAGGCTGGGGCAGGAGAATTGCTTGAAACTGGGAAGTGGGGGTTGCAGTGAGCTTAGATCTCACCAGTGCACTCCCGCCTGGGCAATAGAGTGAGACTCTGTCTCAAAAAACAAACCAAACAAAACAAAACCAACCAACCAAACAAACAGGAATATGGATAACAGTTCATCACAGTGTTATTTCTAACAGTAAAAATTGGAAACCAACTTAAAGAATAACATCAGAATTATGATCAAGTAAACTATGGTTTAGCCATATAATCGACTATTACATAGTCTGTTAGGATTAGGCTTAGCTAAGAAATACCTAAAATAGTGATTTAAGCCAGATCGAACCTTATTTCTCTGAATAAATGAAGTCTGAAGAGACACATTCCAGACTTGGTGAGATGGCTCAATAGCATCTTTCCAGCTTTCTACTCCTCATCCTTAGAGTGAGGCTCAATCTTCATGGCTCAGGATGGGTGCTGGAGCACCAGCTATCCATTGCATCCACATTTCAAGCAACAGGATGATGTATGTATGCTGTCACTTTAAGGAGACATCTTAGAATTCCTCACACAACACTTTGTTTATATCTCAGTGGTAAAAACATAAGCACAACAATGTTCCCAGCTAAACGTTTGGGTACTGTAACCATGGAAGAAATGGTTATACATATACCTACTCATTAAAATTACAACCACGAAGATCTCTAGGGTGTTCTGTCTTACAATTTACCTTGGTGTCTGGTAGCTACTGACTTTTTGCCTCTGTTATGAAAGAACTATGTTCCCAGAGTTTGTTGGAACAAAGAATGCACGAGTATTTCCCATTGACTGAGCGTGGGCCACATGTGAGAGGGAGCTAGTGTGAGTGGTAGAGGGAGAAACAGACACTGTAGAGAGAGGTAAGAGGCTAGTGTCTGAGTTCCTTGGGGCTGCAGGAGCAGCGCATCTGCAGCCATATCAAAGGAACAGCAGGTGTGGGGCTTAGAGAAGCCAGGAGATTGTGTTCACAGAATGAGCTTTAAACACAGCTGAGTTGAGAGTGTGATAGAGCTGTCTCATGTACCAGCTCGTTAAGAACTTCCCTGCCTCTCTCACTTTACTGCTCTTTCCTCTCTCCCCATCCCTGGGAACAAGGAGGCGCAATGAGTAAGAAGGGTGAGGAAGTGTGGAAATATAACATGGAGAAGGAGGGAAGAAGGACTGTGCCTTTCCTCAACCTACTCCCCTGCAAAGAAAGCTTCTTGCTTGCAGCAGACCTCTAGCTATGGGGAGGGGAAGTAGTTGACCCTTTGAATGAAAATTGGAGCTCTGATTATTCCATGGGACTTTTAATGGTTGAATTGAGACTACATCTTTGATTTAAAAAGACAGTAGGGCTTTTTTTTTTTTTTTTAAGTCACATACATGTGAACAGAAGATTCATGAGAACTGTCATAGTGTTCATCTAGAGGCAGGGGAGAAATGGTTTTTCCCATTGCATTTTAAAGGCTATTACGAGATAAAAATAAAAGCACCACATCCTATGAGTCCTGTTTGTTCACCATACCAGTTACAAGTAGGACAATACTTATGTAATATGTTAGCCAAAAGGCAATTTATATAATATGACCCAACTACGTGAAAACACTGAGAGAAGGAGAGAGAGAGGCAGAGAGGGAGAGAGAAAGAGAGAGGTAGGGGAGGTGGGGAGACAAAGAGGGGAGAAAGGGGAGAGAGAAAAAAAAGGAGGCATGAAAGGAAATAGCAAAACGTTCAAAGCATTTTTCTCTACCCTGGGATGGAAGGCCTAGGGGGAATCTTGTCCTCTGAGCTCCCAGCCATTATTCCATGGCCTGTTGGCTTCCATCTCTGTGCCATAATGCTTTTTTTTTAAACAAATTTAGAGATGATTGTTTTATGTGTCTCTGATTAGACAGTAAACTACTTGAGCAAAGGAAACATGGCTTTCTTCAGCTTTCTCTCCACAGGGCTCAGAACAGAGCTTAGAACACAGTTAGTGGGGAATAAAGGTTAAACACTTATTAAAGAAAGGAGGAAGATTATTAAGGCAAAACCAAACCAAAAGAAACAAACAAAAAATGAGCAAACCTGAGGTCAAATGCTTTAGCTGAGTCCCCCAAATGTTGCGATCGTTCTTCCGTCTCTATTCCCAGAATGTTTTGCTTACCTTTCCAAAATGCCCCTAGCCCTGCATGAATGATCTGTGTGCTCATATTAGTTATCTGTAAACAGCTTGAGGATGGGACCCATATAATAATAACAGTATTTATTGGACACCTATTACCTGCTGGGCAGGGTGCCAGGACAATGCTGCCCACACTCTAATATACACCTGAGGTCTTGTTAAAAAGCAGATTCTGATTCAGTGGTCTGGGGTGGGCCTGAGTTCCTGCATTTCTAGAAGATGATGCCTATGCTGCTGGTCCCAGGACATGCTTGGAGTAGCCAAGTGCAAAGGACCTTAACTCATTTAATTCTTCAATCAGTCCTTCAATAGGCAGGTGTTATTTTTCTCACTGCATTTTTGCAATAAGAAAACCTAGGGTCTGAGCAGGTGAGTGAGGGTCATGCACTTATTAGTGGCGTTGGCATTTGAACACAGTGCTGTCTAACTTCAAAGTGTGGAATCTTTCCACGGTGCCACATGCTTAGCTTGCAGAGGGGCCTCTTATGGGAGCCATCTTTGCACTATCAGACCCTGGAAGGAAAAAGAAAAGGGAGAACAAATTGTGTTTCTAAAAATAAACCTTGGGCTGTGTTTTGGCTCTGGAGGAAGGCAAGGGTCTGTGAGGGATTACTGTCCACTGGAGAAAGCACGAGCATTCTTTTCCGGAGTGTACTCGCAGGCTCCTCTCACCGCCTCAGGCCTGCCAGGAAAGGGCTCTCAGCTCCAGCTGGGGGAGGGCCTGAACCAATCGAAATCTGCTCAGTGGGATAACACCTGAATGGAGGCATTAGCTTTAATGGGAAAGGCCTGTTTGCAGGGGAAGTGAAGTCAGCAACTCACACTTCAAGCACTTGCAGGTTCATTAGCATCCTGACAACCCTCTCATGAGGCAGGAGCTGTCATCTCCACTTTCCAGATGGAAAAACTGAGGGTCAGGCTGGCTCTCAAACTTGGGTCTTCTGACTCTTTCAAGTCCTATGTGACGCTACACTGAGCTCATTGGGGTTCATAAAAGGAGGACTGAGAATGATGGAAAAGATCCAAACACGCTCCTCTTTGAAGGAGGGAAATCTGGGAGGAACGACCCTGGGTTCAAATTCTGCCACTTAGGAGCTATACAGCAATGAGCAGGTCAACGGACCTCTCTGAGCCTCTGTGTTCGTCTCTATAAAGTGAGTATGATGATTGTGTGTGTATACATATCTCTGGATCATCATTATCCATAGGTTTTCTGTTTGCAAATTTGCCTACTTACTAAAGTTTACTTGTAACCTCCAAACCATGCTCCTGGTGTTTCTGCAGCCATCTGTGGACATGTACAGAGTGGTGATAAATTTGAATTACTTGAGGCATGTTTCCATTTGAGGTTGAACAAGGCAATTTCCTGCCTTTTTCATGATCTGTTTAGTGCCATATTATTTGCATTTTTGTGCTTTTTTGTTGGTGATGTTGCTGTTTAGGATGGCCCCAAGAGTAATACTAAGGTACTGTCTAGTGTTTCTAACAGCAAGAAGGCTATAATATGCCTTCTGGAGAGAATGTGTGTTACATAAGCTTTGTTTGTGTATAAGTTGCAGTGCTGTTGGATGTGAGTTCGATGTTAAATGTATCAACAGTATTGGTTAAATAAGGTGTGTTTAAACAGAAACACATGAAACAAAGTTATATATTGATTAGTTGATGATAATGCAACAACTGGAGGTTCACAGGAACCTAACCCTGTACTTCCCCTAGGAACAATGGTTCAGCATTCACAAATTCTGTGTTCACAGCAACTTTACAGAAGATAACTACTGCAAATAACAAACAAGAGTTAACTGTATATATTTCCGGGACATGTTGAATGTCAGTTCCTTCTGCAGTTTTACTCATTCACCTTTCTTGCAAGGGCCATGCTGATGAGCCCTAGAGACGATAGTCATGGTCAGAGGCAGTGTGGCAGGGTAGGCAGGATAGTTGAGTGTATGAGTGTGGACTCTTCTTGTAAGACCTTGAGCAATTTACATCACCTCTCTCCCATGTCTGCAAAGGAATGCCTTTGTTGTCCATGTCTGTAGAAGATGATGATACGGTACCTGGTTTATGGTTTCTTATGAGGATTAAATAAGCAAAGATGTACAAAGGGTTTAGAACAGAGCTTGGTAAGCAGGGCTGGGACTAGGGAGAGGCACCTAGGGTACAAAATCTACGGAGACACTCACCCTGTGCTTGCCTGCCTCCTTAAATTTTGTTCTCTGAGCTGGGCATGGTGGCTCATGCCTGTAATCCCAGCACTTTGGGAGGCCGAGGCAGGTGGATCACCTGAGATCATGAGTTCAAGACCAGCCTGGCCAACATGGTGAAACCCTGTCTCTACTAAAAATACAAAATTAGCTGGGTGTGGTGGGTGTGCCTGTACTCCCAGCTACTTGGAAGGCTGAGGCAGGAAAACTGCTTGAAC